GCGACGACGACGATGCCGATGAGTAGGACAGTGTGTCGCTGTCGTGCGCGTTGGGCCTCGTTCTTCTCCACGTGACCTGGTCACTGGCCCACTTTGATTTCTCCTGGTTCGTTCTCTCCTTCTCTTCCTCCTTTCCATTCCGCGCTGCCATTTCCCTCGCTCCTTTTCCAGAGTCGTGCCCGCCGGTTCTTCGGGGAAAGAGACCTTCGCCTCTCTTTCTCTCCGATCGGTCTTCCTGGGCTTACGTTGCCTCCACCATAAACGACCTCCACCACCGTTCGGTCTTCGACCACCACCATCACCGCGATTCCTGGTCGAAGGCGCCGCTTATGACTTAGCCATGCGATTCCAGCACATGCCGTGGCACGAGGTACAACCAGACAGGTACCATCCAGTTGACTAGCCGGATGGACGAACGGTGCGCGGAACAGATCGTTATTGCTGTTGGAATCGCGTGAAAAAGTCCGATCGATACCTGTTCTTCGTAACCAGTGTCCAAGCGTTCGCGATCGGTAGGAAGACTCGATCAGTGTGTCGTGGAGAGACATCGCCGGATTAGTGCACCTTTGGATTGTTCGTTGGACGTAGGAGGCTGGTATATGACGGAACTGGGTGACGGAAGAAAGGGAAGTGGAAGAAGTTCGGTGAAGAAGTGATACGCGCTGAGGAACTGGGGTGACAACGTGTGAACCTGGTAATAGACGTTCTCGTGAAACGCGGAGAGGTCGTGTTTCCTTCCGGACAACGACCCACGGAGGTTCCATCGAGGATTTAAGGCGACGTTATGAGACGGTTTTAACGAATATTGAACGTATCACGGGATAACACGTTGCACGGTAAGATATCCTTCGTTACCTCTTGATCTCCTACTTTATGAATGTTCCTGCAAATTTTTGAGCTTTCTTTCTTAAATTAATTAAGTCGAATCGTGATAAAATACACTTCGAACTTATTCTGCAACTGCAGCTATTACCTATGTTCATAGGTAATATAATAATCCTTTATCACCTATGTTCAGGTAATCGTCCTCAATGATTTTATAATGAAATATCATTATTTTATAATGATCTAAACATTCTACATCATATTATGGCTCTGAAAAGATATATTCAAGAAACATCAAAGAGCTAACATGTTCATTATCAAGTTCATTATACAATTTCACTTGTCAAGTCTTTCCAAAACCGTATTAATACACAAAATCACCGTTACTATTATACTAATGTAACGCATTGATTCAGAAGCTTAAACTTGAAACTATTCACATATCTAATAGCAGAGTATCCATGACTGAAATACGATAGCAAGGAGTTGAAATTACGTGTACTGCATTACTTATGCAATAGTTAATATGAAAAATAAGCGGATAAAATAATTATTAAGAATATTGAAAGAGATAAAGAATCGATGCGGTCGGTGATAGAGACTTCCACTGGTTCGATCAAGAATTCGACACGTTCGTTTTGCTTCAAATTAACGTTCATTAGTATTCTGAACCTGTTATAAGGACCATTTCCAACAGTGCCTGTATTAGCCCAAGCTCGATATACTGTTAGCTTATTCGATTTAAACCAGTGATGAACAGATCGAGTTCCTGCCGAACAATTTATAGACACTGCGGTGTGTGACGAGATCGAAATCATGGAGAATTCAAATTGGTATTTTAGGTTAGAAATTGGGGAACTTGGGAATTTGGGTAATTAGAGATTTGGGAATTTGAGGGTGTGGGTAAATTGGGGATTTGGGGGTTCGACGTCTGGGGTTTTAGGGATTTAGGCACTTAGGTATTTGGGAATTTGAGGGTGTGGAAAATTGGGAATTTGGGGGGTTCGACGTTTGGAGTTTTAGGGATTTAGGCACTTAGGTATTTAGGCATTTAAGGGTGTGGATATATTGGGGATTTGGGGGTTCGACTTTTGGAATTTTAAGGATTTAGGCAGTTAAATATTTGGGCATTTAAGGGTGTGGATAATTGGGAATTTGAGGGGTTCGGTATTCGGAAATTTAGGGAGTTAAGCACTCAGGTATTTGAGCATTTAAGGGTGTGGATAATTGGGAATTTGGGGGGTTCGGTATTTGGAAATTTAGGGATTAAGGTACTTAGGTGTTTGAGAATTTGAGGGTGTGGAACATTGGGAATTTGGGAGGTTCGACGTTTGGGAATTTGGGGACTTAGGCACTTATGTATTTTAGCATTTAAATACTTAAACATTTAGGTACTTAAGTACTTAGATATTTGGGAACTTAGGTACTTGGGTACTTAGATATTTGGGGACTTAGGTACTTAGACACTTAGGAATTTAGAAATTTAGGTACTCATGGATTTTAGTACTTAAGGATATAGACACTAAGGAATTTAAGAATGAAAAAATTTATAAATACAAAAATTTTCAACCTGACATCGACAACCCATGCTACAAGTATCCACTTGTCCGCCATTTGCCCATAACTGTTGTAATGGACCATCGGTCTCGCAAAGGAAACTTGCTAATCCACGTGGTCGTATGAATTTCTCGTTCCGACCCGATGAAACGGAAACAATATGATACATATTAATGTAGAAAGTCCACTCGAACGAAAAAAAAGAAAAGAAGGAAGAAATCGGTCAGTCGAAGTCGCGTAGGATCGTTTATCGGAACCAGGACGTGCGATCGGGAATCAGTGCGATCGTACGGAAGGTAATCTGACCGTGGAGGCAGGAGAAAGCTCGGTTTCCGACTTTGGCCCGTAGTAAACGAGGTGATATACATAGAAGATCATTTGGCATGCTCCGCTGCTTCACCGCATCCTTCTTCCCTTTTTCTTCGTCTCCTCTCTTTCCTTCTTCTTTCTGTCCACGGCGATTTCATCCACGCGTCGTTACCTTTCGCGTTGCACTTCTTAAAGTCTCGTTTCAACAGATTACAACGAAATACGTGTAGTCATGGGTAATTACTTCGTGTTCCTCTTTTCATGATCGATCGTCGGTACAGTAAATGTTCGGCCTCTTCGCGGTCCGTCAATGTCAGTTGAAATTTCGTTCTGGATCGTTGTTGCCACGTTTCACCGGTTAATGATCGATAAACCGGTGAATCGATGACACGGCTAATGACGTTAACCTCGTTCGGCGGCGAAAATTAAGCTGCCTCGTTAGACCTTGCAGCTGACGCTGTCTTTGTTCGTTAAGGCACTAAAGTGTCAAAATGTAAGGCACTTTGACGAAGGTATTCAATGCGTAATACTTTGTACATCATAAAATCGGTGGGTTATGAATTCTTGGATAGGATTTTAATGATAGCTTATATGAATGGACAGTGAAAATGAAGATTCCTTTTGTGGATCCTCAGTGAATTTCCAAATCATAGGATCCTCAATGGAAATATTCCAAATGCAAATATTAAGAATTTGACAAGTAGAAATTCCACATGTGGTTCCACCTATGGTTTCACCTATGGTTTCATCTATGATTCCACCTATGATTGCACCTGATTGCACCTATGATTCCACCTATGGTTTCATCTATGATTGCACCTATGGTTCCACCTATGGTTTCACCTATGGTTCTATCTATGGTTTCACCTATGGTTTCACCTATGGTTCCATCTATGATTCCACCTATGGTTTCACCTATGATTCCACCTATGATTGCACCTATGGTTCCACCTATGGTTTCACCTATGTTTCCACCTATGATTGCACCTATGGTTTCACCTATGGTTCCATCTATGATTCCACCTATGGTTTCACCTATGTTTCCACCTATGATTGCACCTATGATTGCACCTATGTTTCCACCTATGGTTTCACCTATGGTTTCACCTATGATTGCACCTATGGTTCCACCTATGGTTTCACCTATGGTTCCATCTATGATTCCACCTATGGTTCCACCTATATCTCAATATCTCCCAAATACAAGTAAAGTGAAGTTCCACTTGATGATCGATATAACCCATTTAAATTCCACCTATTTCTACAGTAACGAAATCACCTCCTCAGTAGAGTTCCCTAGAACGACAGACGACCGACAAAATTCGAAGTGTCTTCACCGATCAGTGATGTGCCGATGCTTCGAAACGTGGGGATTCTTCGCGCTGACCCCGAGTGGTCTCCGACACAACACTGCGTGCGTGTACGTGCACGTGTACCTAAGTTAGGTATGCCACGGCGACGAGTAGTGGTAAGTTGGTAACGGTTGTCAGCGGGCAGACGGTTCGTGTCACTCTTTCCAATCGCGTTTGTTGATTTGCGAGTTTAACGCTCATTCGTGGACTCTTCCTGTCGCTCCACTTTGACGAAACAAATCTGGATGATCGGTTCGCAGGAATGAATGGAAAGATTCCTCGTTAACGAGCGGCGTTTGGGTAAATAATGACATCCTGTGGACGTCGTTCGCGTGGCGAGGAAAGGACTTAGAATTGATAGACCTATGACAAGCTGCATGAAACGTGACTCGTTCGTAATTTCAGCTGATATGAAGCTGGTACATCGTCAAAGGCCCTGTCGTGACTAGCGTAAATTACCCGCACGAATTGTCGGCCTACATCCTGGGACTACTTTTCGAACCTCTTAAAATTCACGCAACGCACTGTCCCTTTCAGGTTGCTCCAAATAACTTTGGTTCATTTTGACACGTAGGAATAGAAAGTGGTTCGAATGGATTCACCTAGCGATCTCTCGGTACTCCTACGTTTTCTTCGACTTTTCCTCCGGTTCGATACGGGCCACGGTTAAACTATCACTTTCTGCAATTCGTACCAAGCGAGATGATAGGCTTGACGGTCGTTCGACTCGAACCGTGATGATCGGTTTTGCACGAATGGCCGGGTTTTAAAGCGTTTCAAACGTCCGAGTGAAAGCAGAAAGCGTGTACGATACCGTTGTTCGGCTCTTTCGTGTTTCTTTGCTGCCTTAGTTGTTTATTCATATCGATCGTTTCGTCGAATTTTAAGCAGTTGCCGGCTGCTTCGGAAACTTAGGAAAGAGAACGACAATTCCCTTAGGAGATTTTAGAATTCAACTAAAACCACCATTAGAACGTTTAAGTTATATCTGCATTTCAATAACACCATGATGATAAAACGTTGAACAATTCGCACTCAAATCGAACAATAGAACGAAAGTTTCTCCGATGACAAAGAACGATCACAAAAGGTAAACGTTTGTGGTCAGATTTGCTCGATCCAATTCCGAAAGAAAGAAGCAAGACGAGGAAACGTCTGTTAGTTGGTCGGCGAGGCCAAGCCAATCGGGTCACCCAGATCCAATAATGAAGAAGAGTCGAACTGTGAGCTTTCTCCGAGGTTCGCGTGTGTTCACGGAATCTTATGGTATACCCGTGTGTTCCACGCACTCGCACGAGTTGACGAACGGCCAATGAACGGCGAAGAATTTTCGAGCCACTCGAGTCTACACTTTGACTCCTTTCCTCGGCATAAGCCACGGAGTCCCAGGATCGTGATCGTGTCCCATTGGCGTAATTAGGTAGAGGGTGCACTTGATAGAATGGACAGGTCTTCTGTTGTTTAACATGGTTTGACTGGTGGATTAGCTTGGTGATTTAACATGACATGACTGGTTAGTTAACATGACATGTGGAAGATAAATATGTGAATATGGGGATGTAAAGGCGTAGTGATACCAACGGGTATGATGATTTAATGTAGGATGATTTAATGCGTGGTAATGTAATATATGGTGAACGGGTGGTGATCTAACACGTAGTGATTTAATGCTTGGTAATCTAAGACATGGTGATCACAACATGTGGTAGTAACAACACGTGATGGTTCCAATGCATAGGTGTACCAACGCGTGATGGTTCCAATGCGTGGTAATTTAACGCGTGGTAATCTAAGACATGGTGATCCCAACGTGTGGTAGTAACAACACGTGGTGATACCAATGCATAGGTATACCAACGCGTGATGGTACATCATCACGATACCAATACGTGGTGATCTAATAAATAGCGATACCAATGTGTAACGATCTAACGCATGATAATACGAACACGTAGTGATACTATCAAATAATGATCTAACGCGTGGTGATACCAACACATAGCAGTACAATGCGAAATAATCTATCAAATATCTCACAACAGAATATCTGTCATATACCTACAGACAGAGTATTCAACACATGGTGATCTAGCGTGAGATATAGACCAGGAGTTCTATACCATGTTAGTATAGAACTCCTGGCAATATATGGCAGGTCCCCTTTAAGCGAAATCCCAGCTACGCCAATGATCCCACGCTTTCGTGCTCATACATGGTCTTGTCCCTGTATGCATGTTGTCGCAGAATCGAACGGGCGAAGATCGTTTGTCGCACAGCTGGTTAAACACGAGAGGATTGTTTGAACAGGCACGAAAAATGAGATATATAACGGGACAACTCTGGTGGACGAATTTTTGTGACTTTAAAGATCTACCCTTTCTTGTTGTGTAACGGCAAGGTTTAAGGTATACGAGACACAGGTTTTTAATTCCTTGAATCACTTAATGAACTACCATAAGTAATAGGACTCAAGTTTTTTATTAAGACATTTGATAGAACTCAGGAAGAAGGATCATAATCGCAACGAAAGAGAATGTTGTAGACTTTGAAAGTTTGCTCTTCAATTTTCACTTATCTACGATGTTTAGCTGCGTTAATTTTAAAGAACGGCGTAAAATTCACTTGTAATAACGGGATACTTTGTATGAGGCGAGCAACTAGCTTCGGTTTCGATTTATTACCATGGTGTCCCGCTTTAACCGTGTTATGGTACACGAAACTACTTTTAACTTTCATGAAAATTTATTGGGATTTGAAAATTTAGAGATTTGGAGATTTGAGGATTTGGGGATTTGATAATATGGAGATTTACGGATTTGAGGATTTAGGGGTTTGAAGATGAGAGGGTTTGGAGATTTGGGGATTGGAGGGTTTAGAGATTTAGAAATTGGGGGATTTAGAGATTTGGAGATTTGGGGATTTGGAGATTTAGGGATTTAGAGATTTGGGAATTTGAGGATTTAGAGATTTAGAAATTGGGGGGTTTAGAGATTTGGAGATTTAGAGATCTGATGATTTCGAGATTCGGAGATTTAGGGATTAGAAGCTTGAGGATTTGAGAATTTGGAGTTATGTCAATTTGGGAAATTAGAAGTTTGGGAGTTAAGAGATCTAGATGGCTAGGTATTTGGGACTTTGGGCATTTACAAATGTGAGGACTTGAGAATTTCCGAGTCTCATTACGTGATCTAACACGTGGTGATTTAACGCGTGGTAATCTAAGACATGGTGATTCCAACGTGTGGTAGTACCAACACGTGGTGATCCCAATGCATAGGTGTACCAACGCGTGATGATACTAACGCGTGGTAATTTAACGCGTGGTAATCTAAGACATGGTGATCCCAACGTGTGGTAGTAACAACACGTGGTGATACCAATGCATAGGTATACCAACGCGTGATGGTACATCATCACGATACCAATACGTGGTGATCTAATAAATAGCGATACCAATGTGTAACGATCTAACGCATGATAATACGAACACGTAGTGATACTATCAAATAATGATCTAACGCGTGGTGATACCAACACATAGCAGTACAATGCGAAATAATCTATCAAATATCTCACAACAGAATATCTGTCATATACCTACAGACAGAGTATTCAACACATGGTGATCTAGCGTGAGATATAGACCAGGAGTTCTATACCATGTTAGTATAGAACTCCTGGCAATATATGGCAGGTCCCCTTTAAGCGAAATCCCAGCTACGCCAATGATCCCACGCTTTCGTGCTCATACATGGTCTTGTCCCTGTATGCATGTTGTCGCAGAATCGAACGGGCGAAGATCGTTTGTCGCACAGCTGGTTAAACACGAGAGGATTGTTTGAACAGGCACGAAAAATGAGATATATAACGGGACAACTCTGGTGGACGAATTTTTGTGACTTTAAAGATCTACCCTTTCTTGTTGTGTAACGGCAAGGTTTAAGGTATACGAGACACAGGTTTTTAATTCCTTGAATCACTTAATGAACTACCATAAGTAATAGGACTCAAGTTTTTTATTAAGACATTTGATAGAACTCAGGAAGAAGGATCATAATCGCAACGAAAGAGAATGTTGTAGACTTTGAAAGTTTGCTCTTCAATTTTCACTTATCTACGATGTTTAGCTGCGTTAATTTTAAAGAACGGCGTAAAATTCACTTGTAATAACGGGATACTTTGTATGAGGCGAGCAACTAGCTTCGGTTTCGATTTATTACCATGGTGTCCCGCTTTAACCGTGTTATGGTACACGAAACTACTTTTAACTTTCATGAAAATTTATTGGGATTTGAAAATTTAGAGATTTGGAGATTTGAGGATTTGGGGATTTGATAATATGGAGATTTACGGATTTGAGGATTTAGGGGTTTGAAGATGAGAGGGTTTGGAGATTTGGGGATTGGAGGGTTTAGAGATTTAGAAATTGGGGGATTTAGAGATTTGGAGATTTGGGGATTTGGAGATTTAGGGATTTAGAGATTTGGGAATTTGAGGATTTAGAGATTTAGAAATTGGGGGGTTTAGAGATTTGGAGATTTAGAGATCTGATGATTTCGAGATTCGGAGATTTAGGGATTAGAAGCTTGAGGATTTGAGAATTTGGAGTTATGTCAATTTGGGAAATTAGAAGTTTGGGAGTTAAGAGATCTAGATGGCTAGGTATTTGGGACTTTGGGCATTTACAAATGTGAGGACTTGAGAATTTCCGAGTCTCATTACTTTCAAATTGGGGGTTGAAAAATTTAAGTACCCAAAGATATCAGACTCTATAGATTTAGAAATTTGAGACTTCCAAATATAAAGATTTTACAAGTTAGTTAACCAATACTTCAAAACATAAACCATCTTTAATTTAGATCACCTTAGAGACGTAACAGTCATTTCGTAAGAAGGAGGGTATCGATAATTACCTCCCGTCCCGTTTTTATCAACTTCGAAACCGAAGACCGAGAAAACACTTTAAAGAAAGTGATTTCCGGGTATTACAGAGGCTGGTATCGCACGCGAACGAACGAAAGGGAACGATTGTCGTGTTATCAGCGTTAAACGTTCTCACGACAGTTGGCAATTATTCTTGGCAGACAATGAACGCGCTGTAATCGATCTTATCGGTCTTGTAACCCAACCAAATACTTTCTCCGTGAAATCGAAGCGTTCGTATTTTTAACTTTCTACAATATTGCGCTGCGTGTTGTTGATGATTTGCGAGCAACGGAAAACGAGTTCGAAGTAAATTTCATTTTTGCTACCTCGATGAATTGTCGCGACACGTAACTGTGCGTGCACGTAATGACATTCCATAACAAGAACGACGCACGCAGATGAGGAATTGATAATTGATAGTACCGGTACCTTCCTTTGGTGCCAACTTCCAGGCGCTGGAAGAATTACCATGAAACACCGTACGATTCGATCGTTGAGCTTCGATCAAAATACAAATTTTATAGGTGTTTTAAAAGGTTACGCTACTGAAAGGTTGAGTAATATGAATGACCCAATTTTCTGGAACAGTGTGGACAAATATATTTATTTGCAAAGGATAGAAGGAAGTTTTGATCGTTTCATAAGTTAAAAAATTTACTAATCCTTGATCTGTATGAAGCAGCTACTGCTGATCTACTTTTGAGTGCACCTGTATATGAATACGAACATGTATGTGAACCCTATAGAGTTACAACGAACCTTCTGTTAAAATTCTTCATAAATTAAAAAATTTACTAATCCTTGATCTGTATGAAGCAGCTACTGCTGATCTACTTTTGAGTGCACCTGTATATGAATACGAACATGTATGTGAACCCTTTAGTGTTACAATGAACCTTCCGTTAAAATCCTTCACAAATTAAAAAATTTACTAATCCTTGATCTGTATGAAGCAGCTACTGCTGATCTATTTTTGAGCGGACCTATATATGAATACAAACATGCACGTGAACCCTATAGAGTTATAATGCACCTTCTGTTAAAATCCTTCCTGCAAACCTAACAGAGCTACAACGAAAATACGATGCAGAAACAATGATGAAAGTAATTGAACAGAATGAAAATTCGTAAGAAGGTAACACACTTCAGAATGAAATAACAAGGAGGAATTGGTAACTGGGTTACCGGGTGTCTTCTCGAAGCCGTCTTACTCTTCATGGTCTCTCACGGTCCATTTCTTCTCGTCCAGATCAGTCCCTTGTACACTCATTTACTCCTTGTTCTTCCTCGCATCCGTCGTTTATCATTACGCAGCTTCGTGTGATAGAACACCTCGTACTCTACTGGGTTCCCTCCGACTGTTATAACGGGATTTCGGAACACGTAGGGACACCGTGTGCTCACCTTCGAGACACGCGTGTACACGCAAGCGTGTAAATCTCGTGAGATGAGAAAACCGAGATGACGAAACGGCCTGTAGCTTGCTCGTTTCGTTCGGAATACCGTTTACCTTTCGTCACCTGCCGCCACTTCCTTGTTTTAATTAACTTATGCATTATTAGCTTATGCTTTAAGAAATTCGAGTTATTTGCTGGGTGACTAATTTAATTCGAGGAATTAGAGAATGGAGATAGTAGGACAATTCTGGATATCGTTGCGTTATGAAATTAATTTTTAATATCACTATTACGTGCCGCGTGGTCGTGCTATAACATGAGTTTAGTAATTAGAGGTTTCCCTCTGAGTTTGGGTTGTAGAAAATAGATGTAAACAACCTCCTGAGCTACGGGGAAGTGGGAAATGAGGAATTAAGAAAATACTGTGTTGAGTCTTGTAGAGTAATAGCCTTCTAATGAAGTACCAAGAATGGGGGCTCGATGGGTAAGTGGGTAGGGCGTCGGATCGACGATCCGAAGGACCCCGGATCGAATCCCGCCTGGGAGCGAAAAAATCTTTTCCGAAATTGTAATCGGCTTCTCTCTGACTTCGGGTTGTGAAAATAGTTGTAGATAACTTCCTCAGCTATGGGAAATTGGGGAGAGGGGAAAAAAAGAAATTCGGAAAGTGGGGGGAGAGGGGAGAAAGAGGAGATACCAGGAGCTGAGAAAGGTAGGAAATGGGGAATTAAGAAAAATACTGTTGAGTCCTTGTATGGTAATATATCGGACTGCTGTGAAGAACCAAGAATTGTACTTTATAATATAAATACTATTTTTATTACATTAATGTTATCAGTAGTTAATGTTTCATTCGTATTTATTTTAATGTCATAAACGTGTCTTACTAAATACGACTGACACTACTGTGAAGATCGTATGAACACTGAAATTACTGCAGTAGAAGCAGACATATGTGACAAGACACAGTATCACTATAGTATTTGTACAAAAATAGTGTTCCATTTTGTGGAACACTAAACAGCAAAAGAAAAATGCATTTCTAATAAACATAGTTTCTATCAGTTTTATCTAAGACCACTTAGCTAATGCTCCTGTACCGTTACAAGAGGCATACATAATGTGGATACTTAATATTATGTATTTAATTCATTCAACAAACTGTTTCGTGTAATCTGTCACTTCTTCCAGTTGTAATGATAGAATCCTTTGTTGCAGATGACTGTCGGGAAGAATATACACTTGTTCCTCGTCATCCTTTCTTCGACGTCCGTCATTTCACACTCTCACATGCCCGAAGCCACAGGTAACAATCATGTTACGTAACAGATGGACAGCGATAAATCATGAATGAATTACGATCATGCGTGGGTGGTGTATGCGAGATAACGTAGCATGTTTCGGAACGGAGGTTATGAAGAGTCATGGAGATCGATACGTATTGTTAATATTTTTAATACTAGTGAAACTGCATGTTCACATATTCGTTTATGGACAATACATTCTGAGGTAAAGTTTGAAGCATCAAAAGAATGTTCCATCAACCCCTTTATTAATGAACCTCATAAAGGTCGATCGATATGTATTATTAATATTGTTAATACTCAAAAAACTATATGTTCACATATTACTTTATGGACAATACATTCTGAGGTACAGTTTGAAGCATCAAAAGAATGTTCCATCAACCCCTTTATTAATGAACCTCATAGAGGTCGATCGATACGTATTATTAATATTGTTAATACTCAAAAAACTATATGTTCACATATTACTTTATGGACAATACATTCTGAGGTACAGTTTGAAGCATCAAAAGAATGTTCCATCAACCCCTTTATTAATGAACCTCATAAAGGTCGATCGATATGTATTATTAATATTGTTAATACTCAAAAAACTATATGTTCACATATTACTTTATGGACAATACATTCTGAGGTACAGTTTGAAGCATCAAAAGAATGTTCCATCAACCCCTTTATTAATGAACCTCATAAAGGTCGATCGATATGTATTATTAATATTGTTAATACTCAAAAAACTATATATTCACATATTCGTTTAAGGACAATTAATTCTGAGGTAGAGTTTGAAGCATCAAAAGAATGTTCCATCAACCCCCTTATTAATGAACCTCTTCAATGTCTGAAATCTGTGACAATTATATAAATAAATCCTAAACGATAATATACAAAAACAATGATAATATTTACGTGACCTTTGACCAATTTAAAGACGAACTAAACGTACGTGTCCTTGTAGAGGTTAAGTATTAAAAATACGTCAATATCGTCCCTCACGTTCGATAATATTAAAATAGTGAAATATCGACGATATTGATCGCGGTCTCCGTTAGAGGCATTTCTAGTTATACACGAGTTAACAAAACAGACATAATAAACTTAAAAATGTTCTAAATAAAAAGTAACAAGAGTGTGTCGAAAAAAATGTCAATGCTTATCGACAGGAAACTAGAAAGTGATTAATAGCTATCTGCAAGTTAATTATCGAATAAACCTAGAAATACATGTATCTTACGTTAAAAAGATTGCTAGAAAATTGACGATTAAATCTGTCCTAATTGGAAGAATCCGTAGTTAGCTTATCGCGGTATCGATACCGGCATCTAACTACTCGAAATACACGGTGTCGTTTTAAAATTCCTAGCATAAATTGCGAAGAATGTGTGTCACTTTGCAAATGACGGAGTTTCCGTCGCCGATCGGGAACGCGCATGCATTCGGAATAAGATTCGAGCGCGTATGAACATGGAATTCGCGACTTTCGAAAGGAAGTGAGATGTAAGTGGAATTCGGTGTCAGTGTTGCCACGTGAAATTCTGAAAATCCGAACCCACCGATCGAGTAAACACTAAAACCCGTGTATTCAAACACTTTTCAATGACTGCAATCATCTGGGAATACAGCTGGAAGAGAACACGCGTGGGAAATTGAACGTTTGTTTGGTTGACACGCACGATTACGGGATCGCAAACAATTCGCGGCAGTCAGATACATCAGCTCGATAGCTGTTCAGACTTTTTTGACCCTCGACATTTTCTTACTGACGGAGAAAAATGTGCTGATATAGATCTGTCGTGTTCGTTGCATTGTTCGTGTAAAGTTAAGCACTTGATTAGCCCTTGTATTAATAATTCGAACGCACATTTACATATCGATATTAATCACTTTAGAGTTTCAACGTAGGCAACTTTTTGAAACTTCTAGAAGGGATATTAGGTTCTCATAAAGTTAGCTTCGTTCTGGAATGTTCGGATCTTTGAGGTTCTCTTCGAGAGCTAAGATAACGATTATCGCGTTTATCTTTGTCAGGTTCTATCTTAATAGATCTATTTCTATGTAGTACAGCTGTTATCAACCGCAATTTGGGAATTAGTAATTTGACATATATTAGCGGGAATATTCAGACATGTAATGTTTAAAATGAGTAAGGGATGAGGTGTTCTAATGACTTTATTTTTGACTGCATTAATAACAATTTTAGCACATGCACAAAGAATATGTCCACATTCCTTTGAAAACAGAATGAACTTTGTTTGAGGAGCATATTAAAAAAGAGCACCCAGTGTAATTAATACAAATTCATATTCATAACAAGGAAGATTGTGTCCATGTAAAATTCTGAGTAGTTATTCAAGCCGCACGCGATATTCTAATTACCCTGTTCGCAGTACTGTATACATATTAAGCACACAATCGATATGACATCGTTCTATCGTCGACGTAGTTGCTAATTAAAATTCATTAATTAATGTAATAAAATATCGATAAAGGTATCGGGAGGTGGTATCAGAATAATTTTATTTAAATTGGAAATAATAATAGTTCGAAAGAGAAGGTTCAAAATAAGAACATAAAATCTATGATAATAAAGAAATCGAATAATGTTAAAAGGTCAGAAGTTCGTGACACGTCGAATCGATACGATTACATACGAAAGGAAAGTCCGCGAAAAATAAGGAACAATATCTGGAACGTTGAAAGAATCTTGACAAGGAGTTCAGCCGATTCGCGGAGTAGGTCATTATATCGGTAGTATGTAGGCATATAAGGAGGCACGTGCAAAGCCTACATGCTTGCTCGCCTATATCTTAGTCACCTGAGCATAACCGATCACTCCGTATGTCGGCTGCGACGCAAAGACCTAGGAAAATATTAAAAATCAGTTCCACTCGTTTTACATTCTTTCAAGTCTATTCAACAATTTGGCTCAGGTCCAAAAAATGAGTTCAGCGAACGTACTTATGCATGACCCACGGTTGAACAGCCGATTTCTCTTATGAACCGAAGAAACAGGGCCAACTGTTTCTGATTTGCGTGTGCGACTAACAGGTCGAATACCAAACGAGTTCGCTTAGTTTCGTTTTCGACTCGTTTGTTGGGAACCGTTGTACGTTCACCGTCTAATTACGACACCGTGATTGGAATAATTAGAGATAACCTGCTAGGATAATTAGAGACGAAGTTCAAGTATATTGCAAGTAGGTTCGAATAGAAGTTAACTCTTTCACGATGTTTGTCACGTATGTTCTGAACTGAGCTTAAATTACTACGTGTTAGAATTCCATGTGTTGTGTAACCAATCGTTGCAATATACTTTAATTCCATCTTCTATCAATACCTTTATCCCTAACCCCGAACTCCAAAGAGTCAAATTCTAAAATTACATCCCCCTGTTTGTTCCACAGGTAGAAGACTATTCGGTGGCTACAGAATAGTACCAAAGGCATGTCAGCCGACGCTTCTGTCACGAGCAAACTCGAACGAGCGAACGGTATGCATGTTCAACTACGAGTGTTCCCGTCGAAATGGGAAAGTAGTCGGCGCGTGTATGGACGGCTTCCTCTTCGGCGCATGTTGTCAACTGCCATCGAAAACCATGAGCAACGGCGAGAAGATCCCATCCGATGATCTGTTCAGCTTGTACGACATCGATCACGTACCGGAAATACCAATCCTCTTAAACTCGGATGGCACGCCGCTCGGAATGACGATCTCTCAGGACAGCACCGTCAAAACGGAAACATCCGGTACATCTAATCAGTCGAACAACGAAGGAACCACGTATACCAAAGTATCGACGTTTGACGCGCCTTCGAGCACCGTAAAACCGTCAGAACACATGGAGGACAGCATCGAGAACGCAGAGAAACCGCAATTACCGGCTCAGCCAGATATAAGCCACCTCGAAGAAGATTTTCCAGCTTTGTTGGGTCAGCAGAACGTCTTGGATGACCTGGCTCTTCCTGGGTTGTTGAGTCATTCCGACTCCAACAATGATATTCAGAATCATCAAGATAGCACTGCCGTTAATCCGGTCACCACGCTGTTGAGTCCTGATCAGATACTGCAGATAGCTGATCCGGTCGATCAGTTGCCAGCCTTGTTCTCGCAAGGCCTGGGTCAAAATAATCACAGCTCGGCCGACACGATTTTACTGAACGAGAATGGGACCACGCTCAACGAGACGCACAATCCTGACGAGTTGTTTAAACCTAACGAATCGAGCACTGAGAGTGAGGTCGCTGAAACTCAGAGCACCACTCAGAAGTCAAAAGTGACTGAAGGTGTAATGGAGACGAAGAAGCAGGAGACTACGTACCAGGGAGGTTCGACGAATTCGTGGTTGAAATTCCCTGATCATTCTGCATCGGACATGACTTCTAATACCGATCAAAAGTTCACTTCTTCGATGACGAGGCTACCGGTTGTTACGCAGATGTATGCCAACACGCAGAGGCTTACCACCATGGCTCCCATTTCGGAAACTGCCATGGACAATTTTGAGAAAATAAGCACCATAGAAGAGAGGATATCAACTAAGAATGTAGATGCTTTATTCTCAAACGATGACAAAACTACCACACCGATGTCTACTCTGAGTGACAAGAAAGAGGAACTCATCAGAGTGCCAACTATCACTTATGACACGTCTTCAGGAAACAAGAAGGATGATGCGACAGAGAAAGAGGAACTAGCGATTAATCATATTATATCAATTTTGAACGATACGAAACCAGGAGTGGGTACAACCATACAAACTCCGAATTCGTCCATCAACAAATGGGTCAGCATCGACGAGACCTCGAAGCCGTCTCTGGTCAGAATCTCTACGAGACCTCCGAGTGGACCCTCGTCAACTTTCCCGTACACTTTTTACAAGCCAGGACAGTCGTCGAATTATTATAGTTATGAAACAATACCCACAGAAACGACGTTCTCTTCGTATCCGACGTCCAACGCGTATTCTGCGAGACCCTCGACGCAATCTACCTTCGCCAGTTCCAGTTATTCCACCAAGTCGACCACGACGAATCCTCCCGCGCCGACCGTGATAGTTCTGGGTCCGCTGGGTACCGAATACACCACGGAAATTTCACAGAAGGTCATCACGAAGAAGCCAGCGTCAGAATCCGTTAGACCCATCACGTCCTCCTCTTTCAAACCCACGATGTCCATCAGACCTCTCACCACTAAGAAGCCCAGCGTGTCCACCACCATAACTCACAACATCAGCACGGTGATTTCGAACGTGGCGACGAACAACGTGGTCTCGACGAGCTACTTCAGTGTCAACGTGAAAGATGGTACCACTTCCAAGCCAACGGTGAGCAACAACCTCAGCACAGAAGCCGCAGTCGCTGAAACTCACTCTGAACAGACCGAGAAGTTGTCCACGAAGAGACCCGCCTGGACCACCTCTCCTTGGTCCAGCAAACCAAGCTTCCATCTGAGGCCAGCGACGCAAGAAGATAATATGACACCCGTCGACACGATAGTCTTCAAAGACCCTGTCGTTTCGACCACGATCAACTTCAAGGCCACTACGTCTGTGCCTCACTGCGATGAAGAGACTGCAGCACCTGATGACTTGATCAACTTCCCACCTGTTAGGAATCCGAACTTCAACACGTCGTCACCGATCGCTCAGCACGAGAAACCGACTATCGTGGAGACCTTCAACAACACGGGGTATCCTGATATCGAGATCATCAGCGAGAACGACATACCGACGCCTACCTTCGTGGAGGATGATGTTCTGAACAATAAAGTTGACACCTTTGTGAACAAGATCGTTCAGTCCTTGCAAGGAAACTTCCAGGTACTTATGAATATTTGTGGAGGGGTAGATGTTAGGACTCGAAAAAATTAATTAGGTGTTCTTTCAATTTTATGTCTCTTTTTCATAATAAATAAGTTGATGCTTGAATAGTAGTAGCACATGTGTTATCACTGTTTTCAGGATCTGAAAGATATCGTATACAACCGTGTCAACACGACCACGGTCGCGCCGTCTACTGTGACAAAGAGACCAGCAACCACCACGAGGAAACCCGTGCGGAAACCAACGTCGACGGCAAAACCTTCGTACACGACGACGAAGAAACCTGCCACCACGAAGAGGCCAGTCAGCCGGCCAACATCTTCCAGGCCATCCGTGTCGGAGAAACCAGTTCGCCCGACGAAGCCGACTACTGCGAAACCGAAACCAACCACGCAGTCCAGTGTGACCACGAAGAGACCCCAGGTTACAACGAAACGCACCAAACCGACTAGAAGACCCACTACGACGCCTGCGACAAGCACGGAAGCGGCAGTCGCCGACGAAGAGACCAGTATTTCGAACAACATCGAAACTACTACTAGTCCGCAAATTACGTCTTCGAACGATTTTCGTTCACGTGAGTATCTGCTCCTTTCTTCAATTGTCAGAATGTTTGGATAAGAGGTCTTCGTGGTTGTTGTAATAAAGTTACTGTGATAAGGAGGCTGACATTTAGCTCAATTTGCAACTTTGTTGTGACCCACATATGTTCTTCAATTCTCTGGATAGAGTGTGAATATTCTAGATACTTGTTATCGTCACGGTCAAATCAATAGCGAATTAACCTAATTACTCGTGGATCTTATAATCGCATCTCTTTTCTGCATATCGAGGCTACTTAATGTTCTACCACGCACGTGAATTTATTTCCCTTTCTGATGAGTTTAATTGTAGTGTGACTGTATATTTTTACCGCTGTTTATTTATTGATTATGTATTTGTTATGTTGTATCAGAATAAAAGGAAAACAGAAAATACAAGCTGGTTTTTATGTTGCTCATTGTAGCCATACACGTTTCTCATGTAATTGCTGTGATTTTCTGATGTAAACGTTTAACAGAAATGTGTTCCCAACACTTCTCTAACCTTCTAAAGTTCTATCTTCGTATTAAGAAAATAATTCTGATGACAGAATGTTAGGAACACACTCTGCTCAAATGTCATATCACAGCGAATACAGGAACTATTGCTGCTAACCTGTGATTAACATTTTACAGAATGCGGTATAAGACCTTTGATTAAGTCAGGTAGAATCGTTGGTGGTAAAGCAGCAGTTTTTGGCGAATGGCCATGGCAAGTTTTAGTTCGTGAAGCCACTTGGCTTGGTCTTTTTACGAAAAATAAGTGCGGAGGTGTTCTGATCACCGATAAGTACGTCATAACTGCAGCTCACTGTCAGCCAGGGTAAGCGTCACAGATTTACCTTTGACCTAACTCAGATCTGGGATTAAATGTCTGAACTTCTTGCAGATTCTTAGCAACCCTAGTAGCTGTTTTCGGAGAATACGACTTGTCCGGTGAATTGGAATCCAAACGCAGCGTCTCGAGAAATGTTCGACGAGTTATCGTGAACAGAGGATACAATCCTACGACTTTCGAGAGTGATCTGGCTCTTCTGGAGCTGGAGTCGCCGGTACAGTTCGACGTTCACATCGTGCCCATTTGTATGCCCGAGGATGGTATAGATTTTACTGGTAGAATGGCTACTGTTACTGGCTGGGGACGATTAAAATACAGTAAGTAAATTAATCGCGAGGATTATGATAGGTTCTCTCAAGCTTGTTACCCTAAAGTATCGGATTTGACCTAAAGCTATTCGACAATCGTTTTAATCTTGATGCGAGTATCCCATACTAAATGTGTCGACCTCAGTTCGATTTAACAATAGTCTCCTAATCTGCGACCACTAGTTTCAATCTAAAACTGATTACTCTAATTAAGTAATAATCGATGGCTATTCTACATCACCTGAAATTACTACCCTTAGAACCGCAATTACCACTTCATTGAACTGAAACACAAACGTATCGCGATACAAAATTTCACCATTTTCTACGATTGCACATCACGGTGACAATTTACAGACGGCGGTGTACCTTCCATTCTGCAAGAAGTCCAAGTGCCCATAATCAAGAATTCCGTGTGTCAAGAGATGTTCCAGACTGGTGGACATTCCAAATTGATTCTCGACAGCTTCTTGTGCGCTGGTTACGCCACTGGCCAGAGAGACTCTTGCGAGGTATTTTTGTTTGCACAATTCACCCACTGTGCTATTAATTTCTTTCGTGAACGGTATTGCATTCGAATCGATGTTTTCAGGGTGACAGCGGTGGCCCACTGGTGATGCAACGACCAGACGGAAGATGGTTTTTGGTGGGCACCGTGTCTCATGGAATAACGTGTGCTGCACCCTATCTCCCAGGTGTCTACATGAGGACAACCTACTTCAAACCTTGGCTGCACAGTATCACCGGGGTCTGAGGATCAGGAAATCATGGATTTTCTGGGCAAACGATGGGCACTGACGATTCTGTGCCACCTGTATAAATGTACAAAGGAAGACTAATTTATTTCCTTCGGACTAGATTCAAGTATACCAGTTAAGAGAGATTAGAACTAAACGAACACGAATACGTTTCACTGTATCGGGTCATCTCATGTGCAATATCATTTCCTCGATTCCATTTTTCTTTTTTTATTTGGCTGACTTGGTTTATTAATAATTTGAGTAAATTGTGCTAAAATTAATCTAATACACCTTGTCGAAATTTGAAGATCGAGAATCTAACATTAAGATGAGTTATGATATCATAGGGTGATCAGATACATTTATAATTTCTACCTAATTTGAAGAATGTTAACCAGTGAATGAGTCAGCTCGTCCGAAAAGTATGATGCGTTCCAGACATTTTTCTGAATATCGAGAATCTAACGTGTATCAAATATTGAACGTGTTGTGTGTTCTGTGTATGTACATATATGTGAGTACGTGCTCCACGTACTGTACGTATAGAACGAGTTGCGAGCCTTATTTATTTCGTTGTTAGCTGTTATTTATTAAACTCATTTTTATACGAGATAACGGTGTTTTTCCTTTCACTCTGACCGACTGTACCCTAGTTTGCAAAATTTTCATGTTCCACGCTAAGATAAAGTTTGAAACTAAAATTAAAAGTCTTCGAATTTTACTGTGCTAATAGTCCCGCGATAATAGACGACCCGTGCGTGTTAATGTTTCAAAGTTTAAACATCGTGGATGAAGTTTTCTAGGAAATTCAGAACCTGTTACGTTGATCAACACGCGACAGTTAATCCTAGGTAATACCTGCTGTAGAAGCGTACAATGTATTTGCTTATGCAATCACAAGTTGCACAAGTCGGATAAAATACTTCTGCTTTGAATAATTTTGCAAACGAATATGGAACAACGTTGCTGGGAAATTTTTCATATTATCTTGCAATAAAAACGAAGTATAAGATAATCTAGCGAAACTCGAAGCGTGATTCGCGTGAAATACATAGGGTAACATTATCCCATTTTATTCTTGTTGGCATAAACCTTGATTTCTACTTCGATTCTTTTCTTACAAGACCGTCGTATGAACCGTAATTAGTCTGATATTATAAATAGCTGTTACACATGCAACGTAAGCAACGTACTTTGGCATTTCCATAGACAGGTGATCATGTACGTGGGTTTGATATGTTTACAAGGAATCTCCAGAAACTACGTCAATAGAAAGAATGAAGGAATAACGGTTTGCTTGGGAACATCTGTATAAAGCCTTCAATTCTAATGCATTCGTTGTTATCCGTTACGTAATCTTTACGTCTCAAACATAGTCGAACACCATGGAAAACTTGGTGAATTAGAAAGAAGATTTTTGTTATTTTTCTGTAATATCGTTTATGTTAAAGTTGCAAGATATGGAAGTAGTTTCAGACAGAAATATGCAGGTATAGAATCAGCTTGAGAAGAAATATGTGAAGCAGGATCGACCGCCAGGTAGAGCATCAGGACACCTTGGATCAATATGTTCAAGAGAGACCGAAACAACGGTGATTCAGTTGGAACAACAAGGAAGGAGCTCAACACCTACACGAAAGTTTGCCCAATGAATGGCGCCGTTGTATCCTTCGGTGGGGTGAACATTTTTTCCTTTCTCTTAAACAAAAATTATTAGCACACCCAAATTGCTATTTCCACGAACACAAAATTACAATCAAACGAAACCCCGATATAAACCTTCGCATGAAAACGGTTTCATCCCCGTACAGGATATTTGCGCTTCCTCGAACAACAATGGATATATCATTTCCATCCATGATTGTAAATTTACGGAGCAAACAAAATATCCGCCTGGGAGATTCAAAGCAAACACGCCATACGTTTTCTTGTTATTTCGATAATTAAACCAAACGCTATTTCAACAATGTGACCGAAACATGAAGCCGATTTTTGTATGGTTGTTTGCATGTTGTTATGAATAACATTATAAAAGCAATGGAAAAAGTGAATGAACAAAATGTCACCTAGGTCGTGTGCGTAAAAAGCTCGGCTGTCGCGCTTGCGCCGACGTTTGTACGAGCTTGTACAAGGGAAACCGGAACGACGTAAGAGTATAGATTGCCAATGCTAGCGGAGCTTGGATTCAGTCCTCCAGCGAACTTCATCGAGGACTTGTTGATCCCGGGAACAGACAAGACAGATCCTTCTGGTCCTATCGAAACACCGGCCAACTGTTAGGGTGACTAGGAATCTCGTAAGTTACTCTGCAACTTCTATGTCAACGATTGCAAAATTTTCGAAAACTCTTATACTACCTAGATGTATTTTATGATCGGATTATATCATTTCTTGGTACTTTATATGTGAGGATTTGTCTTTCATAGAGATACATTTAAGATTCAAAGTTAAGGGTGGAAGACATATTTCCTTCGGGACTCTTAAATTTTATAAGAATTTCATTTTTAATCTTGTGTGGTCTAAAGTATCGTTGGTGAGATACTCCAGTAATAGTTTTTTCACGAAAAATGAAATTATCGCTGTCTCGGCACTTTAGGGTTTGGACCCGGGCCAAATGCATCTAAAAGACTACAGTTTGAGAATAATTAAAATCCGACAACAGAGGGAAAGAAAATTCTAAATACCCTTGATGTTGCAATTAAGCGAGTTAACAAGTGGAAAATTTTATTTGCAACTTGTCGCAGTACGAACTACCCTTTTCATTGGTTGTGACTTCGAATGATTAATGTTTAATAAAATTGTTGATTACATTTTTTGGATTAAAGTCATGATAGCGAATCGTCCTAAAATTTCAGAGGTTCAAGAAACAAGCAAAGATGCACACGTGTTTAGCAGTAACCATCGTCCTCGCGATCACGATGCACTTCGGGGTCGAAGGATGGGGTGGTTTGTTCAACCGTTTTAGCCCGGAAATGCTATCGAACCTCGGCTACGGAAGTCACGGCGATTACATGGGCAAAGCGGGACTGTACCAGGTAGGTAAAACTTGACCCAAGCCGTAATTTCTTAGACACGTACGCAAAAATAGCTGGTTGCAATTTAGCCGCAGTACAGCCGGCACACGATCGATAACGTTATTCCCGCGTAACTGTATCCACTTACGTGCCTGCCGCTTGCAAACAATCCTCGCGAGAGAAGTGTCATTAAATTTGCTTCGCCGTTGGCTGCGAATCAAATGAGAACTCGTTAAACGATCTCTCGAGTTTTCTATGCAAATATAAACAGGAAGGGTTCGCGGTCCGAAGCTGTTGACCCGAATGCGTCCGGGGGTTGTGCATAATTCATTCGCGACACGTAAATCATTCGTACGGCTGTCCGTTAAGGGTCAATTTGCGACAAGCTAAGAAACGACCTGCTCCACTTTTCTTTCCGCCACGCAACATTTCATTCGCGTGTTCGGGAATTCTCTAACTTCCGTTTCGATTCAAGCGACCATTATCCGCCGGTTACGGAAACTCTTATGGGGATTCGTTGGAAGACGTCGTACCTTGCTACGAGAGAAGGTGCACGGCTAATGAACACTGTTGTCCTGGCTCTATCTGCGTGAACGTTGATGGAGGTAATTTTCGTTTCTTCTTTTGTACTTGAGCTTTTATAGGAAAATGTCGCTGTGATATTCGAAAGTTAGACGTAAACCGAGTATTATCGCTACTGAAGTCTTCCTATAATGACGATGCAAAACCCGTCATTCGATATAATTCCACAGCACGCCTAGTTTGCATGGAGTACACGATGAATCGTATTAAAACGGCACATCAAATGTCAATTTACTTTCTTATAGCTATGGGTCACTGCGTTTTCGACCTGGGGCAGAAACAGGGAGAATTATGCAGGAACGATAATGATTGCGAAACTGGACTGATGTGTGCTGAGATTGCTGGGAGCGAGACACGATCCTGTCAACCACCGATGACTTCTAATAAGTTGTATAGTAAGTATCAAAACACTCAATGGATAAATAACATTTTTATGGATAAACTTTTATATTATTTGTGCTATCTGTGTGTTATCCCTTTACAAGAACTTTAATTCAAAAAACTGTTCTTGGTTTTATCTAACTTTTAAGTAATAGTAATGTCGACATAGTTTATGACATATCATGGTGGATCTCTTGGTACCACCAGGTCTTATATTTACAACCTTGAGGAAATCGTTTGCAAATGGATAAAGTAGAAGGAAATAAGGGATATTGGTATATAACTAGTCTTCGATGAGCAATTAAGAAATTGTGTTAACCATAAGGGTAAATGTAAGGGTAATCGATAAAGGTCAACTGGAAAACGATTACGTCAGAGAGATAAACTCTTACGTAAAACGTTGGCTCATAAGTTTTAAATATCCTGGATCAAGATACGAAGGACGTAATTTATACCGCAAGAAAAAAGCATGCTATGCCCTTTTATTATTTAAGATCATTTCGTACTTTGAAAATTGCCTGTCTGACGATAAAACAGAGTTACATTATTTATGACATAAGCACTTTGTTGCTTCATGTGTTCGAATCAGTCTACAACTATAAAGTGACTTAAATAAAAAATCCAGCTATAATTACATCGGCATAAAATTCGTTTTACAGACGAGGAATGCAATATGTCTGGGGAATGCGATATCACTCGAGGTTTGTGCTGCCAGCTTCAGAGGCGTCACCGACAAACGCCAAGAAAGGTACACAAATTGGATAAGGTTTTTAAAAAAATGACGGCTTTACATTCATTTTGATTCTCTTAGGTTTGTGCATACTTCAAAGACCCTCTTGTGTGTATCGGCCCAGTAGCGATGGACCAGATGAAGTCCGTCGTGCAGTACACTTCCGGTGAGAAACGTATCACCGGACAGGGAAATCGAATTTTTAAACGAGTTCCTTTCGCCTAAGAATTTCACACCACTGAGAACGGAAGGAGTGTCTACATAAAATCAAATTCTGCTCCTCGATATTGAAAGAGAAATAAGTCTTTCGAAATTCTTCTGGTTCCTGATTCTCCCGTGCCACGGTGTTTCATAGTTTTCATCATGGCGGACGTGGTGGGAGAATCGGGAAACAAACGCGCCTTCCAAATCGTTTTTCTTTAAATATTACGACTGACAAACACATATCATAATCATAAGGTAATGTATCAAGGTTTATTAACGAACAGCGTGTACAGGGTATTTCGAGAAGAAAAAATTAAGCGTTTCCTTTTTTTCATTCCTTGAACGTTGTTTTCGGGCGGAGAATTAGAATTTTACAAATTGAATAGGAATTGAATAAATAGAACATAGACGACGATAGCGGTAGAAACGATAGTGTCTCTATTTCTCACGAACGTAAACGATAATTAATAAATACGATTAGAGTGTTTAGTTTGTTAGCTCAATAGTTCTTTTGTATTTAAAGAAATGACTGAAAGAGTGGGTTTTTCGCCCTGTACACGAACTTTTCCTGAATTTATTCTTAAGACTTCTCAGCACCGTCTTTAGATACACCAGGCCCGGACTCGGGGACTTGATTTCTCGAAAATTTGTAAGAATTAATTATATTAAATAAAATGCTTTTTTAAACGATTAAAGTGCGAATAAGTAGAAATTGGAAATCCTATTCTGGCGATCCTACAGGCCTGGGCCTTGTAATCCTAAAGACGGCTCTGCTTCTCGAATTATTCGAACGCACACGGAATATGCTTTCTCATTCTGTTTCTTGAAGAAACGTTAAACATTCTTGTTATCAGTGGTAGTGGAAAGAAGTTTAGAACGACATTATTTCCATCGTATGGTCAATGTTTCATCTGAATTTAATCGGAATAAAAAGTTTAAACAAGCTTCGTCGGTGTCTAACAAAACTTCTATGCATCATCGAGTCGTGACGATTTGAAAGTATTTTAATTACGTATCATGACACTCTGCTTGTCGTAGCGTATATTCCAAAAGATAATTGAAAGTATACGTGTGTACGTAGACATATTAAGTAGGAAATGGTTTCTTTTCGAACGTGAGAATCGCACAATTGAACGCTTATCACGGAAATCGCTCTATCGGGTTCGATTATTAAAGCGATATCGTTAATTATAATGTAATTAAAAGAATCATTCTCTGTGTGGGAATCGTTACGTTAAATGTTAATTAGAAAAAATTACGTGAACGATCATAAAGATGAAACACACGAACAAAAATAATGTTCTAATCATAATCACGAGGAACGACGGTCCTTAATTAATTAATGACTGTCGTCGAAACATTTTTCGATGCGTAAAGTACCTGCTGCGAGAATTTGGACGACAAACCTCGTTTCTATGCCACTGATGCTAGTCAACGAGAGTCCAAAGCACACAAAATAAAGAGAATAATATATTTCTAGTTACACGTTATTAATATTATTACTTCCAAAGTTGACCTGTTTATCTTGTAAGAGAAACTCGTAACATATCATGGGAATGCCTAATCTATTAAGGGAGTTTTAAATGTGACATGTTACTACAGGATATATCTAACTGAAATTATATTTTTATCTTCGATCGATATGTATACTTAAATACTATATATACACATATTTACATATAGTATTCATATATTTTCCGGATGCGTATATCTCTATAAAAACTAATGTTACTACCCTCTGATGCGTCGTGCGTGCGTCATGTCACAAGGGTTCACACGATCTTTGCTTCAAAACTTTTGCATTTATTTATTAGAAAAGTTCGATTGCATTGTCACTTTCAATCCCTGCCCTTTTGTATTAACATTTTCGTCTCGGATTATTTATTATGGTATTTATTTATAGTCCTAAAATTATAATTCTTGAAAATAAGGAGACGAGAATGAGGCAATGAACTGAAACTAATACATATCATAGGATAATAAATACATTTCCTGAACATTTGGAAAACATTTTTCCATTTATTGTTTAAACGTGCGACTCATTAGGGGACTACAGCCGTTTCCGGCTCGAGTCTAAAGTACCTCTGTCAGATGAATTAATTCCAACATAATTATTATATATGTGTATAACTACGTATATGTAATGTTCAAAATTATACTACAGAGTTGAAGATAGTTTAATGTGAAATAAATTGTGATGCATACAAAACAGTTAAATCTGCTTCTTATTTTATAACTTTTCCCAAGTCCTATACTTTCAAAATCCCATACTCATAAGTCTCAAACTCATGCCTCGAAATTCTACAATTGGAAAGTGTATAAGTGATCTCTTTATTAAACAGACATTCTTAAAATTCCCTCCTCGTACTTCGCAATGCCTTACTGACCTCAATCCGTGGAACAGAAAGTGCAGTCATATACTGTGTGTACATATAGTACATGTGCTAAGTGCACTCAGCTGCAACTTTGACTTCCCTAGGGAAAATGGCGGTCAAGAGTAGGGACACATTATGCCTAATTCACAGGAATAAACAATAAAATCTCAAATAAATTCTTATTTTTAAAAGCAAGATTTTATAACAAAATGTCAGGTATTACTGTAAAATAATTAATAGAATAGTTGAAAGTATTTTGGAAGTCTTTACGCGCTCTTTCTGAGAAGAGTACCCTGACACCCGCTAGCGGTGAGCGGTGGTATTAGAACATAAGATCGCATATAAAATATCCTATGATCCCAATAGAATTAAAATAATATCATTACAATGTAACATAATAAACTACTAGAGCTCCTAAAAAATATATACCGACTTACAGAAAAGCTATCATTCTTCATATTACCTAATCTGCATTATCGACATCGTCCAAAACGTCATTTCTACTACCTTCATCTAGCGCTTTCAGAACGGTAATGTCAAGAACTACATCAGGTACGATTGACGTTGATCGAAAAGCAAATGCGGGTAACCAACGTCACAAACGGGTTAAATTTTTGTAAAGTATAGGGTTATAATAATAAAAAAGGTTGTCAGTACTGGCAAATACTGTCAAGTCGAGAATAACTTCAACGTATTGTATCTGTTTGACAGAAGAGAGGGGAATGTGTTATTCTCCGCGAATGCGAACGGTTTGTGTTAATAGTGTGTCTAAATGATCGTGCCGTTTGATGGGAAATAGTGAACGGAAAAATTTCAAGATTGCAGTTCGTCGGACGATACTGCGCTTGAAAATAACCGGTAACGGATAGTACAAAATGAAGCCTTTAATCGAATTCGAGGAATGTTTACGAGACACGCCAAAATTTCGGTGAGAGTCGGTTAAACTTTCTGTTCTGACACTACTTGTTTAGTCTTACGTGCTCTACTCCGTTGTACCATACATAGAACGATGAATAATTTGCCCAATGCATTGCATTAACATTCAATTGATCGTTGAGAATAAAGGACAGATTACAAATGCTCGTTTTTTTATAGATCCTGTATCGAGGAGGCAGAGGCAAACGTTGATCTACTCGAACAAAAGTTAGACAAGGTATTACTGCTTCGTGAAAAAACGTAACATTTTCTAAATACGTGATATTGCAGCAATATGAGAGAGTTTTTGTTATCTGCTGTTACCCTTCACTAATTTCTTATGCATAAATTAAAATAACTACAAATACTGAAATATAACTTTGTTCTTTAAATTTTTATAATTTCGTATGTTTTTAGTTGTATAATACATTATTTGAGTTTTGTAAATAATTTGTTGTGTTCCTAGAATAATGTCAGTACTGTGATTTTTATGTACTGTGATATGTTAAAACATAATTATTTGCAGGTGTTAAAAAACTGTAGCCAAATGATTGACACTGGAAAGCTTTTTCTAGGACAGCAAAGGTACGTTGTAACATATGTAATAGATTATGTGTAATTTCTAGAACAATAGAGCCTACTGTGACAAATTGGAGTTATGTCATAATTGAAGGAGAGAGAGAAATTTAAGTGGAACTAAAAAAGGCATTTAGTTTGATTGAATAATGTTTGTAGTTTAAAAGGTATTGATTATTTTAAATGAATTGTATTTAATAATGAAATGGAAGAGGGAGATTCCAAGCAATAGAGAAGAGTCAGGAAACACATGAATTACAGCTCTGTTGGGAATGAGTCATTCATATGGTACTTAGCTTAATACAATGAAGACTGATATGCTTGAAACTCTTGCTGTTCAAGGATTATTCATTTTGCATTAATTTCCTATATTATGTCACAATAAAGAGTGTTTAAAAAAAAAAGCAGTATTTTTATATTTATTGCACTGTATATACATAATAAATTATTGTGTAAAATATTTTTCTAATAAATTTTTAATTTAAAAAATACTTTGAATAATACATTGTGTGATAAAAAAAAGTATATTTGATTTCTAAAAATAACATTGTACACATCTTCTTTATAGCCAATTTGCTAATAGTCTTTGGGAGTTATCTCTGTACTTCAACGATGATTCAGAGATAATGGCATTACTGAACAAGTTAATCCATGCTTTAAAGGAAATGAATAAGTTTCATACTATTTTATTAGATCAAGCATCTAGAACTGTAATTAAAGATCTTAATTCCTTCATTAAAAGGTAAGATTAATTAAAATTTTCATGTGTGATATAAATATTTTATGTATTTTTAATTTGAAGGTTTATGCATATATGTAACATTGATATTATTTTAACAGTGATATTAGGAGGGTGAAAGAATCTCGTCACTACTTTGAAAAGATTTCTGCAGATTTAGACATAGCATTGAATAGAAATTCTCAAGTTCCAAAATCTAGACCTACAGAATATGAAGAAACATCTAATATCCTGTCAGCCACACGATCTTGTTTCCGACACACTGCATTGGACTACATTCATTCATTAACAATGATACAGGCACGAAAACGGCATGAAATTTTGGGTACTCTACTTAATTACATGAATGCATGTATTACTTATTATCATCAAGGCAGTGATCTTGCGCAAGATTTGGATCCATTTTTAAAGGATCTTGGAGAGAATTTAATTAAAATGAGAACTGACTCCATTAAGCTTGAGAAGGAAATGGAAAATAGGCATATTTATGTTACAAATAGAGACCTAATACCTTCTCCGGTACCTGGCAATCCTAGAATGGAAGGGTATCTTTTTAAACGCACCAGTAATGCGTTTAAAACATGGAATAGAAGGTGGTTCTGTTTAAGGGATCACCAATTAGTATACAGAAAAAGAACTGGCGACAGTGATTTTACAATTATGGAAGAAGATCTTCGTCTTTGCACTGTAAAACCAGTGGTTGACTGTGATAGAAGGAATTGTTTTGAAGTATTAAGTCCTACCAAGTCAGTATTCAATGTGTACTAGTGAATTTTAATAAGGTTGCACTATCTTAACATACATATTATGCAATTTACAGAAGTCACATATTACAAGCTGATAGCGAAGAAGCATACTTAGCATGGGTAACTGCCATGCAGCAAGCAATCGGTGCTGCCATTCAAAGAGGCATGGGTGCTGGTACCATAATTAGTATACGAGATTCACAATCACAGCATGTCAGAGGGTCAAGCAGACCTAACTCAAAACCTAAATCAAGGTATCAAGAGTACTTCCTGTAACCATGAACAAATAAATATTATTAAATATATTATAATAATTGATCTTTTTCTCAATATAGAGTCTGGGAACAAATTTTGAAGATCCCTGGAAATGATTCGTGTTGTGATTGTGGTGGTGCTAATCCAAGATGGGCCAGTATCAATCTTGGAATCACACTTTGCATAGGTAAATTTGGTTTTATAACCTAAAATCTCTTGCACAATATTTTTAAAGAATTTCTCAAGTTCCTCTTTTCTATAGAATGCTCTGGAGTGCACAGAAGCTTAGGTGTTCACTATAGCAAAGTGCGATCTCTAACATTAGACGACTGGGAGCCAGAGATATTAAAAGTAATGGCTGAGCTTGGAAATACTGTGGTTAATAACGTCTACGAGGCTCTGCCAATTCCTTCAAATATTATTAGAGCTACACCAAAATGCAATGGGTAAGTATCATCGCAAAAAAAGAATACACGGATGCCAACTATCTTCAGAGATATAATTACAAACATCTGATTGAGTCCCTTTCTATTCATAGTAACATACGCGAAGCCTGGATAAGAGCAAAGTATGTGGACCGCAAATTCGTGAAACCCTTAAGTAACATAATTTCTAGCGGGCAACACGCGAGTCGTGACAAAATGCACTTTCGCAAGTGGAGTGTGCGCAAATTACGTCGTCGACCACGAAGTTGCGACAAAATTGATAGTATTAATCGTAACAAAACAACGACACTATCTTCCGTGAAAGAAGGTCATCATTCGACGAGTTCGGATGACAGTAAGCATACGTCAATTGAAAGTTTAAGTTCCGTTGATAAGGCGAAGAAAACAGAAAGAAGTTCCTTAAGCTCGGATGATAGTACAAACATAGATCTGAAGAATGACTCGACCCTGTACGGGAAGATATTGGTACGGCCTCCAATGGAATTGAACAAAAGCAACTCCGATTCTAAAATTTCCGACAGCAATACAGAATCAAATATGGAGAACGAGCATAAGCTTCAGATTCCTGAGGTGCAAGACAATACAATAGCCACGAGCGACTCGGATAATAACTTGTCGATGAAAAGCGAAGTGTCCTTAAGCACAGAGATATCCGATACGAAGGATACGTCGGAGAACAAAGACGTTGGAACGGAGAAACAGTGTACAGAAAAGATGGAGTTCGACGTGCTGATGTTCGGATGCGATTTACCAAAGCCAACGATCGATAATAGCTTAGAATTAAGTTCAGATCAGGACTCGACTGCCGGTGAAGATGAGGAGTTCACGGACGAAGAAGACATAGAGAACTTGCATCCTGAGATGCTACTTTATAAAGCCGCTGCGGCGCATAATCTTCCTGTCATGTGTGCAGCTTTAGCGGCAGGTGCTGACAAATCGTGGACGAATGTTAATGATAGAGGTCGTAATGCGCTGCATCAAGCGATTATAAGCGTGAGTATAAAAGATGGCTGGAACTTACTGTTGATATTCAATATAACTTTTTAAGGTAACTTATTATTCGGGTGCAGGGTTCTGTAATGTCTTGCGAATATCTTATTCTGAACGGGGCACGTATAAACTGTCAGGATGCCGATGGAAAAACGCCATTGTATTTGGCTACGGAACTAGGTATTCACTGATTATTGCAATATTTATATTTTTTTAAGTTTTGGATTCAGTATTTTTTTATGAAATTACAGGCCATACTGCCCAAGTATGTTTACTTTTAAAACATCGCGCCGACCAACACATTCAGGATGAAAGTGGTGTTAAACCTTTGTCGATAGCCGTGAAGGAAGCTAATGCAGATATTGTTACATTGTAAGCATGAAATAGATTATTAAGGTGCTTTTAAGGGAAAATTTGGGAACAGTTTATCTTATCACTAGCCCCTTTTTTATCTGTAGAGTCTGGATTACCCAACTAACCTTGTATGCTTTTAGTATTAAGGATATCGCTATTATTTGTTTCAGATTGCGTCTAGGTCTCTTAAACGAAGAAATGAAGGATTCAGAGATTGGAATTAGCGGTGATGAGACATTCAACGACGTAGTCCGCGATTTTAGCCAGTTAGCTTGCTCTCATCCAGAGCGGTTGCAACGAAGAAATGAAAGTAACCACGCGTCGCAACCGCCTGAATGAGGTTTAAGGGCATGCAAGATTTATTTGCAAAATCTCAGAAGCAGGCTACAACATCGAGAGAAGATGAGGAATGGTACATCGAAAATGTCGTCTTTCAGTTCCTTGCAGGGTAATAGAGTTGATTACGAATAACTGGGTAAGTATACAAAGGATAAAGAGAAAGCTTTATGATCGAACAGAGAGACAAATGTTATTATGAAAGTTGCATCTTTCTACGCTTTGATCTCTGCGCGAAGTTTATTGAAATTTTATTAGCGTTTTGTATTTCTACTTAAAAATGAAAATGCTAAGGAATTTTCGTGTGTTTTGCTAAACTGAAAAGTCATTATATTTTGCTTACTCGAAATTACGCTCTGGTTTTCCTCTTGACATTTACAAAAGACGAGATATTAAAAAAAGAAAACTGTCTTCGAACACTTTACTCGTGTGCTTTATACACTCGCATATTGCATACTGTAAACGTAACTTGGAATTTTTAAGCCGTTTTGCGAACACGCATAGCAAAGTATAAATTTATATTACCAGATATTTGTATATCGTTTATGTGATATTGCAAACGTGACAAAGTAGTTTTTAACTCTGTTGTATCGAGAAAGGTTTTACCAATAGCCGACACGTTTTCGACATACATAACATGGTCTAGCAAGATGTCTTCGAAGCAACAATTTTATACATGTATCTGTTTTTATATATTTAATATTACCAGTAGTGTATATACAACTGGCACTAAGATAACTCTTTTTTTCCGTTAGTTAACTGTAGTAATCTGATGCTATGTAATTAGTATCGAACCGATCGAATTAGAACGTTATAGATACGTACATATAATTATGTAGTTTGTCTAGAAAAGTTACACGTACGAATAGCTATAAACTACACCAGTTTAAATTAATAGAAAAAAACCTAAAAAAATATGATTCAGTGTAGTTCAGTATAACGTATACCGATTGATATGATTCGTGTAACGAATTTGTTGCCAAAAATTGAAACCGTTTGTACCTAAAGCATATACGTATATCAGAATACTATTCGATGTTGATTCTTGAATGAATTTTATTTCCGAGAATCGTTTAGAATTTATAATACATAATACAGTGATCTTTGTGTATGTAGAATTCTGTTAGACATTCAATTTGATAACTTTCTTCGCTGTACTGCATTTATGGACAATCTTTCTTTCCGTGATTTATACAACGAATAACACTGGTGTACTGAGCATGCTTGTATTCTTTAAGGAAAATAGACATCTAGGGGAAAGGAATGTTAACACTCGCCAATATTTGAGAATTATACCTAGCTTTCTTGAAATATTTTCGTATAAGCAATAAAAACTTCACTAGTTCACTTTTATAGATGAGTGGTTTGTACTTCACGTCGCCATTTTCCCTAGAGAAGACTCCCATGCTTGATACTGTACACTCGGGTGCATTTACTTCAGGCAAGAAAGACTAGGAGGAGGAGTTGAATCAGATTGCTTCTAAATTTTCTTTAGAATATTGACAAATTGAAAGTTTGAAATTTCGGAACTTTGGAACTTCGAAAATATACAAACTTAACAATTTGGGATTCAAATATTTGGGAACGTAGAATTTCAGAACTTGGAGTATAAAAACTTCCACAGTTTGGAAATGCGGGAATTTAGAAGTTTGGACATTTGCAAAATTTATCTAGCTGAAAATTTGGAAATTTGAAAACTTGACTTAAAATTGAAGGAGATTGAATACTCCTCCTCTAACTTATTCTTAGCCGGAAGAACTATGTTGCACCCGACTATACCCGTGAATATGCTTCCTTTCGCGAACACTTTAGTACGATAACTGCGTTAAACAGTATTTATGAAATAATATAGCATAATGCATGATTCGTTTTTTAGCCTACTCGAGAAACGACGTATTAATCATTGTTACGAATATTTTTCATTGTTTATGTGGTAGGATGGCTTTACCGATAGTTACGATTTAAGGTACAAAATTCTCTGTGAACTTCGTTTCAACGAGATTTTTACGAGAAACCGATTAAGGGTATGATTTTCGAATTGATATATATTTTTTTATTCGATGTACATGCCATAGTTTGTCGTTCGAATCTGGTATTCGATTCTTTTTTTAAGAATTTTCTTTTAATTAAGCAACATGACGATGACGTAAGCATAACTATTATAATAATTAGATACTCATTGTTGCGTAAGTTGATTAATGACAAAACTCGTCTTCGATTAACTTTTAAATGGTATGTTACTTTCCTTTATACTCGAACACTTTATACGATGTAAAGTATCTTTAGAATTATCTTGTTATTTCCGAAATTTCTTTATTAATCAGTTTTCTTCTTCCTCGCGAGAATACTTGAAATTTTCAATCAAGATATCGATGTCTAGTACTTGTATTTTGTACTTATATTTTTTTACATATGTTTTATATAGTACGTATAATTAAAAAAAGCAAAATCTATCAAATTGAAATCAAGGAAATACACGCACGTCTTCCACAACGCAAATATTCGCTTTTGTAAGAATCAAAAAATTCGTTTATATACAATATGATTTTTTCAATTGTATAATACAATATTCTCTACGTTGTTACGTTTTGTCGGTTTGTTTAAAAATATTGCCAGTTACTGCCTAACTGTGAAATGTTGTTAACAAGAATTCAGTATACATATGTATGTCTATAAACGAGTTGAACAAATAGAATCGTTTCACTGTTACGCGCGATTGCAACAAAAATTGTAAACAAACTAATTAATGTATCATACTGTACACAAAGTTTACGTCATAAAACAGCGATTATGCAAATATTCGTGTGTTCTTTCATTAACCCTTTTATCCTCCAATATTTTACTCCCTTTTTATCCTCCAAATTCTTTAAATTCTCAAATCTTGTACAACGTACAAGAACATGAATGACAATAACTCAAATGTGTTCCAACAATTTCTAAATTCCATTCGACAAAAACAAAAGTTGGACGCAAAATATTTTGCGCAACAATTTGTTTGTTGCGTAGAAGTAATTGTACGACGCAATTTATGAAGTACAAATCGATAAATCGTTATTTATCTAACGAAACGTACGTACGTATATGCATCGTATACGCACGATTTACGCGTTAGGTTACGTAAATTAATCCAAACGGGTCAATACCCTATCGCTATACACTTATCAGTGTGTACGTATGTGTGCATAGAAATGTACAAACAAATTTACTATTAATTTTTCTGTGTATCACATGAATGCTCCAATTTGCGTTTCTAGCTTTTGTTTACAATTTGTATGATCGATTCTGCGCTGATAGAAGTCTCTAGAACATTCTTATACATTTCTTGTAACTTTGAAAATAATCTGATTTATTTGAATTTTGTTAATCATGCCCAAATCTCAGTCGTTAAATTTGTATTCTTGCAATAAATTTTAGTTATCAATTATATCTTTAAATTCTTATTTATTTTGTAAAATTAAAATTAATCGTAACCCAGTTAAAAAATCAAGAACACTAATCCTTGACGCACCCCTGTTACTAAACAACCTATTCAATCCTAACAGCCCCAGTGAGTTATAGTCTGCGATTAATTAGTCTTTGAGTGGTGTCAAAAGAACGATTATTCGTCGTAGCATTCACGTGCTTCATACTTCACAGTGTGGTAATCTATTGGCGATTAATCAGTGAAACGTTCCGAGCGTGCAGGGGAAATTGTGATCATAGCGCAGTAGCTTTCCGACAGATCGATTGGTTTGAAAGCGTGAAAAAGTTCGATGGATGTCGATCACTGATCGTGGATTGGCTCGATGACGATAACAGTGATAAGAACAGACGCTGTTCCATTGGTTAATCGTGTCTTCTCTTTCACTGATAAAAATATTGTTTGCTGGAGTGTCGATTGTTTGCATTCAAACTAATGCATCTTTCGACGCCATTGATCCATTGCGTGCGCGCATTTCTTTCATTCTACTGCATTTTATTCGTTGTTGCGACACGCATTGACAATGCATCACTTGTTTTCGAGAACTATCCATGGAGTAGGAAACTTTGTTTGGAGCATTGTGATACATAATCTCTTCGCAATAGGGAGATAAAAACAAACTGTCGTGGGGGTCGCTGATGACCGGGGAATTTAATTTTATGTAGTAAACTGATGAAGAAAAAAACAAGTGATACCAACTAATGACGTAAAGTGATAAGATGAAAATTTTACTTAAAAAATTAGGCAATTACACAATCACTAACATGAGTTTAGATCTGTAATGAAATTACTGATGAGTTTAACAGGTTAACGCGTTGAATGGTCGTAGGTGGTGCTCCTCATAATTGCAATCATTCGTAACATATTATTTGCTGCTTTACCTCTGCTCAAAATATCCTGTTCTTTGTCTTTGAAATTTGTGGAGGATCCCTTACATCCAGTTTCCCATAATTCAATTTTAGTGGAAGGGCGAAACAGATTTATGTGACGTTATGTACAATTGAAAAGTGTTCATTGAGAAGAGCGTTTATTCGCGAATTCACGGTCCGTTTCTCGTTCACAGAGCTCGCTTATAGTGTTTGATTCCATCTATCTGCAACTATGGCGGCAGGCAGTCTACGATGCCTAGAACAGCTCCTATTTCGAACGATTACGACCTCGAGATTGCATGTGCCATTCGATGCGCAGCCAGCTGCACTAATTCTACTGACGGATACGAACGGACAACGACTCTGCTAATACTGCCATCATTTATACTTTACACGACGGTAGACAACCGTCGCGTGAACATTAAACACTATAACTATGATAAATTTTAGATCGCTAATAAATCCACTTTTGGAAAAAGATTTAATTCACAGCCGAATGAGAATATGTACTTCATCAAAATTAAGTGTGATGATCCTATACTTTCTAATAAAAAATATGATAACGTATCAACAGTAAACTTTGAATTATGCAAATATTCTCTGCAATGACTATCATCTTTCAATTTTTAGTTTGACCAATGCTTGTCCAGACAAAAATAGTCCCAGACCTGAGCATCGAATAATTGCACACTGAAAATCAACCTTGAAGCGCGTAGTAAACGTGTTAAAAAACACAGTAATAAAAACGCGTTCTCAGAGTATGTTTTACATAGATAATTATAGAAGAAAAAGTACAAAGAACAAAAGGGAATTCGCGGTGATACTTGGCGCGGCATGATTTGAGGCGTAATCGTGATTGAACCCCTTAGCGAAAGCAGCCAATGGTCTCCCGATGTAATTTATTTTTTACAACACCGAGCGTAAGCATGAATTATAGCGTCGATAATGCCGCAAGGCTTTTTCGACTTCGCGTTGCCTCGTAAATCAGAACTGTTGAAACCAAAAAAAGAAGTTTTAGCGTGACCACGTATGCGCGGTTGGTCATGGACCACGAACTCCCTTTTATTTCGCTACAAGTTTTGGCTTCCTAGTCATTCGAAACCGGTAATAAAAACCGAACCGAGTCGTTCGTGCGTGCGAATTGTTAAGTGTTAAACAGTCTCGCTACGAAAACGTTCTGCCTCGCTTAATTGTTCGCTGTATAATAGCTTTGTAATTCTAACAGCAGAAAATAGTGGCAGTAAGAACGGGGATCACCTTGCCGGGAACTTTTATGTTCCCAGTCAACAAATTTTACAAGTTTTTATAAATATTATAAGGATCGAACTTAGGAAAATTTTAACGCAGCAGCTACTTCTCTTATACTTCTTTTTTATTTAATTTAACCTAACCTTATATAGTAAACTCTAATGTAACCTAACTTTGCAGGGTGCAAGCTAAGATGACCTAACTCTGTATGATATAGGTTAACATAGCCTAACCTTGTATGAGTCTAATACTATTCTAGGTTAGGTCACATTAGCCCATACTATACAAGGTTAGGCTGAGTTAGTGTATATTATACAAGGTTAGGTCGCAATAGCTTATGATAATAAGGTTAGGTCCAATTAAGCTGTTATCCAAGGTTAGACCAGATTAGCGTATATTGCATAGGGTTAGGTCATATTAACTTATAGTACACATGGTTAGGCCACATTAGACTATGCTGATTAGGGTTAGGCTACATTAGACAATATCATACAGGGTTAGGCTACATTAGCATATATTACATAGAGTTAGGTCATATTAACTTATGGTACACATGGTTAGGCCACATTAAAATATGCTGATCAGGGTTAGGCTACATTAGACAGTATCATACAGGGTTAGGCTACATCAGCATATATTATATATAGTTATGTCATATTAACTAATGATACACATGGTTAGGCCACATTAAGCTATGCTGATCAGGGTTAGGCTACATTAGACAGTATCATACAAGGTTAGCCTACAGTAGCAACATTAGTATAAACTAAGGTAACATGGCCACATAAAACAAGTTAATCCAGAGACTGTTAGATGAATAATGAGCAGCGAAGGAATAAATGAGCAACGCGTACGAAGACCCGACTCGTAGCAATCGAAGGGATCAACGATCGATCTAGCTCAACTCAGAGACGATCAGAAACGTTTCGACGATTCTCGAGGAGCGAAAAGGTCGTCGAAGTGGGCGTCAAAATATATACGTATATTTATATACGTGGACACTTTGCGTTCTCGATATAACGCCAAGTGCGTAGATCCGTTGCCGAATGGAACGGCTGCGTAGAAGATTAGAATGAACCGTGAAGTCCGACGTCTGGTCGATCGACGAAATTAGTATCTCTTACTCACCCTACTAATCACACACTGTCTCTGCCTTGGCTTACGAAATTCTGGACGTCTCGTGGACGAGAGTCCGAGACGTCACGCGTTAACGCAAAACTTATCTTTCGTGTATCGACGATTTTGGCCGTTCATCGCATCGGGACGATTACCGGCACAAACCGGAGATGAAAAGAAGCCGGTCGCTGGATGCAAAGGGGGAACCACGTTCGATGTTTCCCCGTCTATAAATTCGATTCTCGTTAGAAGCATCGCGAAAGAGGAAAGCAAGGAGAAAGGGAAGAAGCGAACAGATTTACAACATCCAGAATCCCCAGACGCAACCGTCTTATGAAACTATTTTTAGGCGTTTTTAGGGCCTCTCGAATTTAGGCCAGGTTTCTCAGAAATCGGAGAAACGAACGTGCGACAATGATAACGATACACCCACGCCGATGACCGCGTTCGATCTACCTGTGATTTAACCCCTAATTAACCCTTTCTTCGATACATCCTTTCCTGACATCACTAATTTCATGTACCAAACTGACAAGCTTTATATTGCAATTTTTTTAAATTTTGCATCGCGATGAAAGGGTTCTCAAGTAACTTTCAGACTTTAGCTGTATCGGGAACCTTTATATCTCCGGATCGTATCTCCAGATTTATACATCCTCACATTCAAACCCCCCAATCTTTTCCAAATAACCTGTACAATCGTAGTCATTTCTAATCCCCATATCCCTAGTACATAATTTAGAGTCCAACGGATATAAATTAGAAGAATTAATCCCATCTTCTCTGGAACCACATACAGCACTGGTGATCAGCCGATGACTGGTAGCATGATCGCGAGCTAAGGCTGATTTGATCTAGCAATTTTACAGTGTCAAGCTGTTAACCTAAGAGCATTCCACGTGTGAACATCTGTTGCCAATCTGTTCGATGTCGGCCGTATGTCACGCGTTAGTACGAAGCCGTTCATCGTACAGTAAATCAATTTATTTGAAAGAAATTAGTCTAATATATAGCAGATGCATTTCACTATCTAAGGATCGCGTTTGCGTGCGCTCTTCTTGTTGTCGAGGTCGTTGCTCTTTGACTGAATTTTTATTATATCGCAC